GGCGTACTCTTATGTTTTGCATGCCTTAACGGTTAGACCATTGACCACGCGTCCTCGAGAGGACGGAGCATTGTTCCCACAGGACCGATCACCGATGGCAAATCGTTCCTTCCTACTTTGCCAAAGGTGGCTCAAAAATGTATGTCTATCCTGACGATATCCCGTCCCGCCTTTTCAAACCACTTCCTACTCCCCAGCACAGCTACCGTCCTCTCCTCTCTATTCCATGCCTCAAATATCTCCCTGTAAGTCCCTTGCATTTATCCCAGCTCAGTCCCATGCACTTCCCTCTCCTCTTCGTACCACGGACATTCCGCGACTACATGAACACGGTCTTCGCATTCGAAGCCGCAATCACATTTGAACGTGTCGTCTTCGTCGTCTACCGTCCTATGTCTTCGTCGACGTTCTCGAAGGTCTATGTCCCCGGTCCTGAATTTGACCTTAAGCTTTGTCCCTGCATCCATTGGTCCATGTAGGTTATCCTTGAACCCTATTCCTTCTTTCAACATTCCGTACACTTCCAGACCCTCCTTATCCTTGGTTTCTTTCCTTAGATTATGTTCTTCTCTCTCGGCACAAGCAACAGATATCTTCTCCTTGAACCCCTGTAGACCCTCCGTTTCCAGCGTTTCATCTTCGTCGATGTCTAACCCCTTCAATACACCCTCTACAACCTTGGTCCATTCCGTGGGTTGTCTGCCCCTCTTTTTGTTTGCGCACTTCGCCTCCCATACTATTCTCGGCAACCTCTCCTCTCCCATCCCGCACATGTGATACTGCCATGTCAGCTTCCTTGCGTCTCTTCCCGACCGTAGGGATTGGATCCCCAATTCTGCCCTGACGGCTGCATTACTCGTGCGCTTGGAGCATCCTAGGATGATTTTCGCTGCTTTCATCTGCGCCGCCTCGAGTTTTTTCACTACCTTCTTATTTCCTTCCCATACTTCTCCGGCGTACTCTAGCGGCGGTACGATTACGCTCTTCAAAACCGCCGATTTGATGCGTGTATCGAGGTGCCGGTTTGCGAGTATTGGGTGCAGCTTCCCTGCACGTGCTTTGCCCTTTTCCGCTACCTTGGACATGTGTGCATTCCACGAGCAGTCTTTTGCGGTCTCTACTCCGAGGTATGTGTACTGGTCCACTACTGCAATCTCCTCGATCCCCCACTTCCATCTATGTTCTACTGGTTCCTCCCCTGCCCTCGTTGCGTACCATGACGGCACTCTCCTTAACGTTGGTAGACAATCTTCACTTATCAGTAAACTTCTTCGCCGCGTTAATTTGTAGTTGCAGTCCCTCAGGGGTGTCCGACATACCAACAAAATCATCCGCAAACATGATTCCTGATACCGAAGTTTCCGTGTCCCCTACTTTTACTCCCTTCCGGACTGCCTCTACGACTTGCAACAGATCGTTGATGAACACCTGGAACAATGTTGGGGACAGCGTGCAACCTTGTGGGACCCCCTGCTCAATGTCGAAGAATTTAGACAGTTCTCCGTCTAGCATGACCGCGCTTTTCGTACACTCTGTCATCTTCTTCAGCACTCTCCACATTTTCCCCTTGATCCCGTACTTGGACAACTGTTTCCACAGCCCATTTCTCCATACGGTATCGTATGCCTTTTTCACGTCCAGGAAGAAGCGGTACGTCGGCTTTCCCGCCCTCTCTCTACCTTGGATGATTCTCCCTACCGTGAATGCGTGGTCTACGCACCCCCTCTTCTTCCGGAAACCTGCCTGGCCCTCACTAATGCTACGTTCCTTCTCCGATACTCCCACTATCCTATCGTTCAGCAGCTTACAAAACACTTTTCCTACTGTGTTCAACAGTGTGATACCCCTGTAGTTTCCTGGGCCAGTCTTGTCTCCTTTCTTAAACAAGTTCACAACCGCTCCTTCCCTCCATCTACTTGGCGCATACTCGTTTTTCCACACGCCGGAGGGAGGGAGAGGCCGAAAAATATGCCACTTATCACCGACTTGTAGGCGACATGTTTCTCACAGGATGCTTGTACATGACCGTCTATAACGCAGACTTGGTTTAGGGAGGCCAACCAATCGTGCTGACCAATTTCCAGCGCCCGCTGTAAAAAACCGCCACCAGTGCAATGAGACTCGCCCATTCCATGAATTCCAACAGCAGTCACCGCGTTCGTCTCCCCCCCCCGCCAGGCTCCCCGTCAGTCCAGTAGACGACCACCACCATCGTCGTCACGGTTCGCGGGGCCTCTTCAGATGGCAACCCCCGCTCCCCGCCAAAGGCAACAACGACGGCAGATCTTCATGCCAGCAGGTGCTTCTTCTTCCACCCTAGCAGGCCATCAACGGCGAAGAACACCGTCGGGGGGCAGGAAGGAGGTTTCGTTGCCGCGCACTCGTCGGTGTCGTTCCCTGCAACCGCTGGGCCTCGGCGGCATGGATGAGATGGAGGACATGGACCCTCTTGAGGCCGGGCCCGACCCGGACGAGATACTGCTCCAGGGGGAGCCGGAGCTGCTGAGGCAGCAGCAGGAGGAGGAGGACTACGAGGTGGAGCTGGCGGCAGCGGAGGCGGCCACGGTGGCGGCGGGGAAGGTACTGTTTGTTCTTAGACACAAACTTTTTTGTGTAGAGAGATTTCATGTAGAGAGACCAGAGCAGTAGTCCAGTAGTCTACGCAGCAAAATTGATTAAGCAAACATATGGGATAAAGTATTCAATCCGTGCTTTAGGGTTAGAGTTAGGGATAGGGTCTGCGTGCCCCCTCCCTATTATTTTCTAGATACTCTTAAAATGCGTAGGCGGTCCGACCAGAGAGAGAGGACCTCTTCCGAACCCCAGAGCGGAGACTTTCGCAGAACCACATGTGTGTGTAAACCAGCAAGCTAGCTAAAAGAAAAGAAACGGCAGCATCACAGGCCGGAATATGTACCGGTATATTGTAATGGGTGTCGTTGTCCCGTCCCCCCTTTGTGTTCGGGGCTGCCTCTCGTTTCTCTCGACAACGAAGGCGCCAACCAAGGCGGAGTTAGCAGAGGCGGCCGTCGCGGCGGCGATGGCGTCCAAGACGGCGAGGGAGGGCGGGGGGGCAGACGAGGCGGCCATGGCCGCGCTAGGCCCCAAGAGAAAGAAGAGAGTAGAGAAGGCGAGGATCGACCCGCTCATGCCCAGGGGGGGCGTCGCGCCGAACGAGTGGCTGGACATGGCGGACCTGGCGGAGGGGGTGCGGGGGATCTTGGTAAGGCGAAGATGATGCCGACAATGCTTTTGTGTTTCGGGGGGGGGGGGGGGGTCGGGAGGGAGGAGACTCTGCCGTTCCGCTCCTTGCCATCCGTGACGAATGCGAGGAGACCGCAGGAGTGTGTTTCTTTTTCGAGAAGATTCCGTTGGGTTGTTCGATTGTTCGCCTCCCAACCGCTTTTTCTTCGTATCCGTTATGTTGTTGGATTGCTGACACGTCGCGTCATCTACTTCTTTTCAGTTGACCACTCTCACCCAAGTCAAAACCTGAATCCGTGCCCGGTCGAGAGGTTGATCCGATACATACGCCGTCGTTTCTCTGATGGTTTCCAACCAGGTGGTGTGCCACACGGGCTTGCCGAAAGACAAGAAGAGGGCCGCTGAGATCATGAACGCCGTCAAGGAGCGCTATGGTCACGTCATTCACGTGAGTCGAGTCCATGGGCGACCGACGGCCGGCTTTTGGTTGCTTTATTTTCCCCCAAGTTCTTCCCAACAAGTAACGTCGCTCGCAGCATGCTGCCGTGTGGTCTGGCCTTCTCTTCTGCTGAGTCACTATCTGAGGGCACACAGATGGGATTTCTTTTTGGTTAATGCCTTCAATTTTTGGTGGCGAGAGAAAGGTTCAGCGATCCTCAAGGCATCGTCATCAACCAAGTTCACAAACGGATCACACCCCGGTGTCTCGGGTGTTTCGTGCTCTGTCTGGTCGTCCTTTGTTGTGCGGTCAGCACACGCATTTCAGCAAGACCGCCCTTGGTGTTGTTTTCAGTCTTACAAGTTCCCTATAGCTTAACCTCACTAGGAGCTGTAGTCTGGGCGTACAGTTTTCAAGGGCTAAACATCTCAACCCAACGTGTGCAGTTGAAGTTCGCTCGTTTTCTACGAATGAAGCCCCGCTTTCTGCTACTACTGCTACTACTGCTGGAGGTTGGGTTTGTGGATGTACAGGAGTGTTTTCAAGGGCTATGTTTCTCGTTTCTGCCCCACATAGCGTGTTGAGGGGAGCGGAGGGCCCTAGACCGCCTGTTTTTGATTTACGTTGGCTTGCGGACGCTTCGGGCCCACATTATTTTAAGTGTAACTTTCTTTAGAGGTAAGTTAGCCTGTTACCACAGGAATCGACCCCGTCAAGCGTTTTACCAGTACAGACAAATGAAGGTACTGGGTAGAGAGACCGGAACGGTTTTGCTAGGAAGACAACCCAACGTGTGCAGATGAAGTTGCGCTCTTTGATCTTCCACTAAACAATGCTGCTGCTGCTGCTGCTGCTGCTTCTCCTGCTGCTTCGTACCCTTAAAAAAAACAAAGCAATATAAACTCTGTATAATATTTTTTTTTTCATATAACGGCTGACAACAGACGCACGAATGGTGGGACGACGACGAGGAGCTGACGGACGACGACCGCGAGGATGCTGGCACCTTCGAGGTCTGGCTCGAGGGGCCCACCATCGTCCACTACCACGAGAGGGCCGACGGCAAGCTGGACCTGGACGACGAGCAGCTGGACAAGATCCTCGACGACCTCGAGGAACGCGTGATGGACGAGGCCATCCTCGGGCAGTACATCAACGAGGACTTCCAGTTCCGGCTGCCCGGGTTCACGGTCCCCGAGCAGCGGTTCAAGCAGTTCCCCGTCCTGTAATTTTATTTGCGGGGTGCGTAACCCCCCCCCCCCCCCCCTTTTTTTGTAGGGATGCGAGGTCTAGCGACTACGGCTATGAGTACACAAACACACACAGCCTGCGAGTTGGGAGGGGGGTAGAAGAGCACAAGCGTTGGCGGTGTCTTGTTGTTTCGTCCCGGCTCTTGTTCGGATGCGGGGGTCAAAGAACCAATATTAAGCTCCCGGCATGGGTAATGGGAGCATCCCTATCCGAAGGAGACTAATTGCCGTCCGCCGCTCGGGTTTCTTGCTCCCGGGTACAGCGAAATAAGTGTGAAATCAGTTCCCGTCGTGTAGTGGAACGTGCCGTGAAGTGTGTGTTGGTGTGGGTAGATGCCGATGCAACGGGCCACTACTGCTGTTCTCCATCCTGAGGTTGTCGAGATGTTCTCGACCGAGTTACCTCGGTGTCGACAGCAGGAGAGGACGAGCGGCGAAACGGGAGAAACACCGGACTGCTTGTAACTCTTGCCAAAAGTATTGGTTGCCACCCCTCTCTTCGTTGTTGAGCCCATCGAGTGGGGAGTGTCGACCCAGGGCGTGTGGTGTTTTCCGCGGTGTGCGGCATAGAGCAGGAGAACAGCGCACGCACCAGAGCGAGCACGAGAGAGAGCGGATGGAAAAGCGTGTGAAGCTTGCGATACCGCGTGACGTAAAACCATAGGGTCGGCGGCAATAATAAAATGCCATTGGTACGCCTTGCCGTAGTGACGCGATAACGGGATGACGTTACTGCTGCTGCTTGTTTCCGCTGTAACGGCGACCGATATGTTGTCATTTGAGGGATTTTAGAATCTTTGGTGGCTCTCGTTCGTGCTCAATGTGAGTTGTTTCGGTTGGAGATGGTGGGTGCCACAATGTTCTGCGACAAGGCAGTTTGTGAAAGACGAACAACGCGGAGGACGATAGCTACTCTTGCTTCTTTTGTGTGCCCTCACAGAATAAAGGTCAAGCATGCGCGTCCGTGAGAAAGAGAGATAAAAGAGAGTACCCAACACGGTACATCGTGATCAACCGATCCCCGCGCAAACAGCTCCATTTTTTTTTCTCTGTCAACTTATAACGCCAGTTCTACAGAACTTCTGGATCTCAAGGGATGTCAAGCATCAACATAAAGGGTAACTCTAGAGGTTCTTGTAGTCCGTAGTCTATGTCTTTGCTTAGAGTAGCTCGCCAGGCTCGCATAACTTTTTGTGACAAAATAAAAATGGTGGCCAGCTCGTATCGTCTCTTCAGTAAACATTCAAGTCTATAACAAACACCTCATTGCGTATGATTCTGCTGATCTTCTGCAGAAAACACTCAGTCTGGAGTGTTGCGAGGTGCAGAGCTAGTCGCGCGCGCACCCGTGCGTAGAGACTTATTTCGGACATGCATTTGCTGCTCTGTGTTTGTTTGCATCAACATGCTCTAGGAGGCCCACGGGATCGCCGGGGTGCAAGCCCGGGGAGGGGGAGTGCTTTCTGCGTGCCCCCTGGCAACAGTCCCGCCGCCAAGCTGGTGTTTGCTGCCTAGAGCAACTGCGCCACTCGGAGCCGGCGTACTACCCCGATGAGTGGTCTTCGCCGCTGGACAATGGCTATCGCTGCGAAACAGGTACCCAGCCTCCATGTTGTTGCGTTGTGCAGATCAAAAGCAAACTCCAGCATTCAAACACCGATCCGCGTGTGCAAAGTAGGTTGAGGTATGAACATCTCCCACATTTTTTGGATGAAAATTCGTTGAATCGAGTTATTTAAAACTCAAATGTGGGACATTTCTTCAAAGATAGGACCATGCTTGCTGTGGTGAGTCCACGGGTCCACCCATCTTGCTGCTACAGCAGATCTTTCATCTTCACGCGAGACTGTTGGCTGGTGCCAATGAGTATTGGCGTAGATGGATGGTGTGGCAAGCGTCGAACTGCACGTGCAAGGTCAGCATCCGGGTGGGGTGATTCTGCCATGGTTGAACTCACCAGGCCTGCAACCGGTGTCATCCTGGAGGGGGATTTCGCGACGTTAGGTATTCGTGCAAGTCGAAGATGGCACCATCAGCAGAGACGCGGAGACGCACGATCATTGCTTTGCAGTACCAGAAGATGCGAAGGTTGAGGTTGCGTGAAGAAGAAGCTCTGCAAGCAAGATACGACGACGAGGCTGACCCAGAGTACTACGACTCCTCCAGCAGCGAACGGCAGCGGGAACTTGCCGCGGCAGCGGCGATAGGAGTGACGATGGGACTCCCAATGACAATGGGGGGCACCCGCTCTGTTCACGAGGTTAAAGAATTTGCTCGCCTGTGTGCACACGATATACCTCCAGCAGCCGAGAAAGCTCAAGACTGCTGTTGGTTGCCATCATAGTCAGGCGCGGAAACAGCAGCGCAAACGCACACCACCTCACGACGCGCCTTTTCTCTTGGTATTCCCCGCCGCCCAAGGTGGTATATACGGCAGCTGAAGCGGCCCGCAGATCCGTTACAAGACGGGGGGTGGAGAATCACGGGTTAGGCTCCCGCAGCAATGTTTTTACTGATATCCCGTGCCTTTTGCATCATCAACCAGCCCATCTTTCTCATGTTGACGTACCAGCCGCCGTGCGCGCCTGCCTTCTTTGCCGCTTTTCTCGCGCGCCGTTTACCTTGTCCGTCGAACCCAACCATCAAACCAGCGGCGGTGCCGCATGCGCCTTCCACCTGGTGGCGCGGCACCTTCAGCCTGCGCCACCACCTCGACCACTACCAACCCGTCCCCAGATAGCGCTGCTCCTCCTACCGTTTCTGCTTCTCCGTCATCGAGCCTGTGGCCCTCCACCGCGGACCTGGTGGACGGTATCCTCGCCGGAAGCAGGGCATCCCTGAGCCGAGCAATCACACTAGGTGGGCCGGGAAACACGGCAAGGGGTGTTTTGACGGAGAGGGGGAAGGGGGGGGAGCGAAAAGGGTGAAATTTGCTCGGAACGGAGGCATGCGTGATAGCCACACGTGTCGTTTGCGAGAAAGGACGGGGTGTGTGGTGGTAGTGTACGTTTGAAGAGCCGGTTGGTCTATTGCTTGTACCTTGTCGTGATACCCTCGTTTTTCCTGTCTCTCTTTGGTGCGCCTGCGTGCGCTGTTCGTACAACGCCAACCATCTCTTTCTGTTGCCTGTCTACCACTCCTCCCGCTCGCCCCTGCGACCTGGTTGGTCTGTCTCTGCAAATCACGACGGGATCTACCCCCCACCAACAACGATGAGAAGTGGAATCACATCGCCTGGACCACCGTCGCCAAGCAGAGCTCCTGCTCGACCGGCTACTCTCAGCTCGGCATCAGGCAGGAGCGCCGCCGCCGCCGCCGGCTTCCCAACCACCACCACCACCACCACCACCGCCCCCGCCAGAAGAATCAGTCACTGACAGCGCAAGCGGTGGCAGCTGTAGCTCGAGCCTGAGCACCCCGCCCGACAGCGGGACGGCGGCAGCGGCGGCGGTGGCGGAGGGGCTTGCGTCGTCGGGGCGAAGAGACTGCAGCAGTGGTCGGCTCGTGGCCGCCACCGGTGGCTTCCCGAAGCTGGGGATGAGGCTAGGGATCGCAGGGCCTCCGGGGGCAGGCAAATCGTCGTTTATCGAGGTGATAAGGGGGCACAAGTTTAAGTATTTGCGGCAGGGACTGCAATTTTGCGGTAGGGACAATTTTTGTGCGGTAGCTGTGGTGCTCACGTCCTCGGTGCCAGTTGTCGTTGTAGTTTGTGTTGACCATGCTACCGTTGGTTTTGATGCGCGGCGTTGTTTGGTTTGAAACGATCAAATGCCTACGGTAAGATCCCCACCCCCCCGCCCCGCGTTTTTTTTTGCCGTAACCATGAATGGTGGTCGAGTAGATCATGTTGTGCGGTGTCGAGAACCCTCACTCCGCGCAAGGGGGATGGTCGCACCACGTTGTGTTAAAATGGTCAAGCATCCTCGAGGCAGTTACACAGTGCTTACAACTGTCTCTGGAAGTGAAAGCACCAGAAAATAAACTAAGTCATACGCAGCTGTCATTCGTACGCAAGGAAGTAAGCACAAGATGACGAAACACCCTTGATGCAGCGCACCCTTCATGCGACTCGCCGAACGCGCTTGGTGATGTGAGAGCCTGGTCCGGTGAGAACCCGGCGTGCTCCGTCCCGGCTTTGTAGGGATGCGAGGTCAATGGTCTAACGACTACGGCATGCACGACTATGAGTACCCCCCCCCCCCCCCCCCCCCGG